TGTTTTTTGTAGAGTCAGTGAGATGATGGAGAGGAACCCCACCACCCAGCAGGCCACCACCAGCCTCACACAAACTGGACCACTCATGATAGTTGGATAGTGCAGAGGGCGACAGATGGCCACGTAGCGATCAAAGGCCATGACGGTGAGGCTCAAGAAGGTGGTGGAACCCAGAGAGAAGTAAAAGAAAGACTGGGTCAGGCATTGAGCCAGGGACATAGTCCTGTGAGTGGACAGCAGGTCTGCCAGCATCCTCGGAACCACAGTAGAGGTGACCAGCATCTCTGTGATGGAGAAGTTACAGAGGAAGAAGTACATGGGAGAGTGCAGGCAGGGGTCGAGGCAAGTGAGGACAGTGATGACCAGGTTCCCCAGCATGGTCACTGTGTAGATCAACAGGATGAAACCAAACAGAAGAGTCTGGAACTCATGGAGATGAGAAAAACCCAGAAGCCCAAATTCCCTGACATTGCTATGGTTGCTTAATGCACTGGACACCCGTTCTCTGTGATACTTGTGGAAGATGAGGAAATCTTAGAGGAAAATGACCACCAGCTTCTGCGTCTGCCAAGCCCCCTTAATGATGGCCCAGATCCCAGGCATACCACCGTGTGGGCACAGTTGATCTCAGGGTCCAGGTGGAATATTGCCAAAGGGTAGAAGCTTCCTAAGGTTGGAAATGAGTTGGCTGTGATGAACAGACTTAGGACTCAGCTACGTTCTTCTTCTGCCTTAACTCTTTCACGGTTTCATTCAACATATTCACCATGCAACAATCCATAGAGGATATTTGGCTGGATCTGGGGATATAATGAACACTTTCTAAGTAACTTCTCAATTTAACTGTTTTGCTCAGATAATGGTTGCTAACTAGCAAGGTTTCTCCCTGTGCCCAAAATTGTGTCAGGAATACTTTAGATGTGGCCTCTTTCATCTACTGTACTCAATCCTCATGCTATTTTTCTTCTCTGAGATATGTCAGGCTGCACATAACCCACTCTTAAAACTTCCCGTGCCCTGGACAACAGGGATCCAGGACTGTGTATGTTTTCCTCCTGTGCTGATTTGCCTTGTCTGACCTCTTCTCTGGGTGCCTGTCTTTGCACCCCTGTTTAGGACAGATCCCTCATGTTTCTCATCTCATTCTTCTCTTTGTAAATGTATTTTATCCAGCAGAAATTTCACTTCTCTTTTGCTTTTTTT